TTTACGATGGGACGTGTATTTTAAAAGATAGTAATTGTGTAAATTATAACAAGAATAGTATTTGTGTATCATGTTCTAGTGGATATGAATTAGACGACAACTATAATTGTATTTTATCAGAAAAGTGTGAGTATGGAACGACATCTAATTGTTACAAATGTTCCAATAAATATATAAGAGAAGACAGTAATTGTATTTTAAATCACAATTGTATTTATGGAGATGGGACTGTTTGTATTAAATGTGAAAATGGTGAGTCTCATAGTAAATGTGAGAGTTGTGCAGATACAAATTGTCTTAAATGTAATAATAATGTTTGTGGACTTTGTCAGACTGGATATGTTTTTAATGATACAAAAAGTTGTGAAAAAGAAAGCTTTGGATTTTCATATGGAATTTCAACTGTTTATTGTAACAATGGTTTTTATATGGAAAATTCACAATGTAAAAATTGTTTAACAAAACATGAAAATTCAATTTTTTGCAACACAAATATTTCTTTGCAATGTGATGACAATTTTATTATCACAGAAGACGGAAATTGTATAACCAAAAATTGCAAAGTCAATGAAACAAATGAAGAAAATGGGCAATGTACTTTACCACAAGAAAAGTGTCTTTCTATAGTTAATAACAAGTGTAATGAATGTGACAGTAATTATATATTAACAAACATTTTTACATGTGAAATTATGAATGCAACAAATTCAATTGAAAATTGCAAACAAAATACTCAAATGGGGTGTATAAAGTGTGATTTTAATTATTATTTATCACGTGGACGATGTTTTCCATGTTCTGAAAATTGCACGAGTTGTATAGAAACATCGACAAAATGTCTTTCATGCGAAATTGGATATTATCAAGGCGACAATTATAAGTGTCTTCCGAACGGTGAGTTAACAGAAAAGTGTGATAAAATATCGACTGTCACAAATGGGTGTTATCAATGTAAAGACAAGTATTATCGAGTCGGTTTGGACTGTCTTCCATGTCTTTCAAACTGTTCAACATGTAATACCAAAGACAAATGTTTGACTTGTAATGACACAAATTACAAGAATAACATTGGCTTATGTCTTCCACAAAGTTTAATAAATGGATGTGCCGTCCACACAACACAATTTGGATGTTCTAAATGTCAAGATAATTATTATACTTATAATTTATATGAATGTGAAAAATGCAATGAAAATTGCACAAAATGTACTTCTCAAAATCAATGCACTTCTTGTGTTAATAACAAAATTTTATTTGAAAATGGACTTTGTCTTGATATTTCTTCTGTTAAAAAGTGCACTGAAATATTCAATTCAAAATGTTCCAAATGTGCATTTTGGTATTCTCCGACTAATTCTGGAACTTCATGTAACAAGAAAGTAATGTGGTGGGTCATTTTAATGGGTGTTATATTAATACTTATAGTTATTAGTATAATTGTTCTAATAATATACTTTACTATTTCAAAAATACAACGAAAATTGCGACAAAAAGAAATCGAAGAGACGACAACGCGTTTTAAAATGAGTCGTTCGAATATCAGTTTTATTTCACTTGGCAATGGAATTGTTGTGAATAAAAAAGAAATTGATTTTGGTGATGACATTGCAGTCAATGAAAAACAGAGAGAACTTCTGTGTGTTGGAAACACCACAAAATATAACACAAAAATACAAATCACAACAAAAAGTGAAAATGTCACAAAATATAAATTCGAAGCGCAACCAAACATCATTGTCCTTGGTAAAGACGACGCCTGTGAATTTGAAATTTTCATCGAATTGAAATGCACAACAAAGTTGAATGAACGTCTGATGTTAGTCGCAAAAATGGGTGTAACCCACAAAGATCTTATTAAGGAAGTTAAAATCAAAGCAACTTCAAAATTGTCGACTCGACTCGACCCAGACGAACTGATTGAAGAAAAAATTCTTGGCGAAGGTTCGTTTGGTGTTGTGTATAAAGGTGTTTTTAGAGGCAATAAAGTTGCTATTAAAAAGATGAAGAACAGTGGAGATATAAATGAAGAAAATGATGAATTTACAAAGGAAGTAGCTATGTTGGATAAGTTCAGAAGTGAATATATTGTCCATTTTTATGGCGCTGTGTTTATTGAAAATAAAGTATCTGTAGTTACTGAATATGCTGAATATGGGAGTTTAAAAGATTTAATCAAACACAAACAATCAAATGAAGTTAATATGAAATTAAGAGTTAAAATGATGATAGATGCGGCCAAAGGGATATTCTATTTACACGAAAATGGGATATTACACAGAGACATCAAACCAGACAATTATTTGATATTTTCACTTGATCTGAATGAAAAGGTGAATGCGAAATTGACTGACTTTGGAAGTGCGAGAAATGTGAATTTGATGATGACTAACATGACTTTCACTAAAGGTATCGGCACTCCTATTTATATGGCGCCTGAAGTGTTGAATAGAGAGAAGTATAAGAAACCTGCGGATGTCTATTCTTTTGCTATTACAATGCTTGAATGTTTGATATGGGAAGATGCATTTTCAAAAGTGTTATATCCGCATCCATGGTGTATTGCTGATGACGTCGCAGTTGGAAAAAGACCAAAAACAGTAGACAGGCTTGATGCTACATATCAAAACGTTATAAAAAGTTGTTGGGAACAAGACCCACAAAAAAGGTGTACCATTGAGAATGCTATTACCATGCTCAATAAATTAATTTAATATTTTGTTGTTAGAAGTGGATTAATAATATTGCCATAGTTTTATAATTGCTTTTTTAATGTTGTTGGTGTTGATTTATAATTATTTTATTTTAAATTAATTATTATTAAATTAATTGAAAAAAGGTGGAAAAAAACTGCTGGATCTAAAAGATTTAACATGGTAAAATTTATACTTTTTTACCAAAATAATAGATTTCATGGTAAAATAATTTTATGTCAACCTTAGTTAAGAGTGTTAACGTGATAGGGCGTATCCACAGGGAAATGGTGAATCCCTGTGGATTTAATTATTTTGTGTGGATAGCCTCTTATTTTTTTGTCGAAATTCAAATATCCGTTTTAAACCATATGTTATGATTTTTAAAATTAATAATTGTTACTTATAATCATTTATGGGACAAAAATGATACACAAACATAAATACCCCCATAAGGAGTATTTCCAATATTTGCAATAATTTCATAGTAAGAAAAAACGCTATTTTCAGCCTTTTTTTGGAGTGGTAAAATAAGAATAGATCAAAATGAACAAATAAAATTACTAACAAAAGTCACTCGTATTATCCCGTTTATTTGATACATGTAACACTATTTTTTTCGTTTTTTTAATTGAAAAAACATTTCAAAAGTGATTTATGGGATTGTAATTTGGGGAAATTCCCGTTTTTTGCATTAAAAAATATTTAATTTTAATATCAATTAACATAATTGTAATTTATATAAACACTCCATTAGTTTATTTTTTTAATAATAATATTTGGGAATTGAAAATTTGTTAAATAATGACTTTTAGTTGGCTCAAATTATACGTATTGAGAAGGGTTTAACATCCTAAATTATATTCTGGTTTCGTTGAAAATGTTAAAGACAAAGGTTTTATGTCTAAACTAAACTATTAATTAATAACAATAAATTATATTACAATAGTATATTATTAATCAACATAAAAAAGACAGAATAATCACAAAACAAATTCTATTAACATAGTTAAATAAAATCTAATTTTTACTATAAAAAAGTTAAAAAGTTAAATGGCAAATTACCACATTGTAACAATAAGTTATTATTTATGTTATTAAAAAATCATAACAATACATGTTAATTAGAATAGAAACATACAACAAATACCAACAAAAACCATCAAAAAATACAAGGTATGTTACTCATTACATTTAACATGTAATAATAAAGATTGTCTATCTATATTTACCATCCACACCTTTTCAGCCTATCCACGGTAAACTATGCCATAGTATTTTATGACAAATTATATGTTATTTTATAAATTTTTCAATTTCAATAATTTTTTCGATTACATATAGTTTATACAATTAGTTAAATAAACTAAAGTTAATTAATTAAAAACTTTAGTCTTAAAATTTTTACCAAAATTGTTTTTTTTGCGGCAAATTCATTTAAATGGTAAAAGTAAAAGATGACTTTGACTAAAAATAAAATTTGATATTACTGTTTTAACTTTCAAAAAAATCGCTTTTTTATGAATTCGGTCCAAAAAGCGTATTTTTTTTGTAAACTCTTAGGCAAATTTTATATCAATTACAACAAAAATGTGTAAGATTTTCAAAGCCATCCACATAAAAATGGTCTATCACGTTAACACTCTTTAATAGAATAAATATCTTTTCTGAACTCTTTATTAACAAATTGAATAGTTTTAAAATATTTCCTGAATATTTTCAAATTAATCATGTTTTTCAAAACTTATAAAAAACATTATATTAACGTAAATATCATATATTGTTTGTATATTTATAATATTAATCAAAATGGATGATCATTTAATATATAATTTAAAGTGTTTTTAATCTTTAAAAACAAAAACAAAAACCGATATTCAACAAATTATTGTTTTGTTTTATTTTTTACAAATAATTATATCAAACAATATAATCGATTTAAACAATTAAGTTGATTGTCATTTACAATTTTCAGACTATTTGGTAAAAACAATATATCTAAAGCATTAAAAAGTAATTGATCTATGAAAAAAATAAGAGTCTATTTATTTAAATATAATATAAAGAGTTTAAAATACTCATAAAATAAAAATGTGTGAATTGAATCAGATTAAAATTTTTCATAAAAATATCAAATCTTATTAATAAATAAAATTAAAAAAAACAAAAAATATAAATTAATAATTTTGTAATTTATAATTCAATATAAATTTAAAAAGCATTACAAAAATCTTTTTAAACAATGTTTAGTGGAATTAATAATGGTTTTTACCGGGCATTTTATTTATAAATTCATTCAAACTGATCAGTATACTCAATGGTTTTATTTGTTGAATTGTTATTGTTAATCAGCACCATTTCTTCAAAATTATCGATGGATTGGTGTAAATATTCCAACAGAATTGAATGTGTACCTTATAGTAAAGAGTGTGAATTGTATTTTGAATGGAGTTTATCAACTGAACAAATTCAGTTGCCCTCAATTAATGATGGCTTAATTATCAAATGTGAATTAAACACACACCTCGAAGTGACTATTAATTTAACAAATCACTTTAATTTATCTTTTGATGAATTTAAGAATACATACATTTATTCCCAAAAATTTAACAAATTTAAATCAGAACCACAACCTTCTCAAAATACAACGACAATGGCAAACACAAAAACAATTATTAAAACTTCTTGTTCAAGAGTGAGATATTTATGTTTAATCATTTTTGTTTAAATTCAGAATAAAGTCGTTTTTATTAAAAAAAGTCATTTTTGTTTACATAAATAAATTTTATTTTTAAAATTCGTGTTTTTGTTAGTTAAATACAAATATTGACATATTTATTGTATGTTCTTTATCATTTCCACTCAAAAGCTCAAAATATCTTCAAATACCATTTTAAATAATCATAACATGATTCCTTCTGGTACACAACCTTCTTATATTATTTGGCATCAGCCTATTATTTACCAAACACAACAACCGTTCATCAATGATAACACAAATGGTAGACAAATAGAAGAAGTTGTTCAAACAGTGAACAATGAAAAAGAAGATACAAACATTTTAATCGAAAAAGATGAAACAACAACAAATAAAAATATTGTAACAACTATAATAAGTACTAAAAAGACACCTTTTCCAGTAGTTGATGGATTTTTGTTTTACAAAGATGGAGCATCATTAAATACTTACAAATGTTCAAGTAGTAAAACTGGTTGCAAAGTTAAAATTAAAATTACTAAATTTAAAAAAGAAAGTGCTTTGCTGGAATTCGAAGAAGCTATTTTTGTTAACGGAAGTGAGCACAACCATGCAATATCTGAACAGTTGGACAAAATTAACTTGGTTCACGACATAGAAAGACGTGTCCAAGATCATAATCATTTGTTGCAAAGATCTGCTGCAATGCAGGGATTTGATTATGGTAAGTATAAAGGAAGAATGTCTTCAGCGAACAAATTGTTCACGAAAAAAGCAAAAGAAAGTAGACCAACAAATGGATATCTTGAACAGCACGAAATCTATTTCAAGTATTTGCTTTACAAAGATGATATTATGTCAATATTTGTCAATAAAGAAAAAATGCTTAATCTCAATACAATTAACACCTTTCTTATGGATGGAACTTTCAGAGCCGCTCCAACTCCTTATTACCAATCTTATACAATACATGGTTTGATTAGTCAGGGGCAATGTTTTCGTTTATTTCATTGTTTGTTGATGAACAAATTACAATCTACATATGAAAAAATGATAGAAGTCATTATTAATTTTGGAAATGAATTTGGTATTAAATTATTTGATAAAGACACGATAACGATGGTAGATTTCGAAATTGCAATAGTAAACGTTTTAAAAAATAAAACACAAACAACTGTCAAAGGATGCCTTTTTCATTACGGACAATCAATTTGGCGGTTTTGTACAACACATGGTATGAAATCAAAATTAGAACACGACGCGGTGTTTTGTGAACAAGTCAGAAAACTCAAATCAATTGCATTTTGTCGTAGTAATGAAATTGTACAACAATTTAATAAAATGAAAGCTGCAACAATCTTGATCAATGATGATGATCTGAATATATTATATAATTATTTTGAAAAGGTGTGGATAAATGGTATATACCCACCTCAAATGTGGTGTCAGTTTTCTCAGTCAACAAGAACCAACAACTTTACTGAAAGTTATCACAATGCGTTTTTCAAGAGAATTGGAAGAAAGAAGCCAACATAGTGGCAATGGTTAGAAACAGTAAAAATAAACGAAGAAGAAGAATTTCAACGACTTAATAAATTAAAAACCTTTGGACATATTAACAGAACGGGAAAAACTTATTCAAAAAAACACCCAAATTAATAATTTGACCAATGTGTACCTTGATGGGTTAATTGATAGTGACAAGTTTTTAGATGGTATTTCTAAAGTCTTGTGTTCTTTAGGATCAGAAAAGAAGTACCAACAGATGATATTTTGAATGATAGCAGTAATTATTCAAGTTCATTAATTGAAATCGAATCTTTAAAAATTCTTAAACCAAAAGATGAGAAAGACTTAAAAAATGTTGAAGAGTTGGATAGAGATACGTGTGATTATTTAACAACAACAAATCAAAAAATAAAAACACCAAAAGAAAAAATTGAAAAAGAATATTTAATTTTAGCAGAAGAAACCCAAAACGATGAAGAAATGATAATAACACCATGTGAAAAATACCAAAGAGCTCAGATTGAACAAGAAACAAAGAAACCAATAACCATGGAATCTAAAATTGTAAAAAACGAAAAAATAAAAAGAAAGTACAAGAAAAGACATTTTTTAAGCAGTTTATTGAATAGAATTAACAAAAAAAGAAAAAGAACAGATTTGGATTGATTAATTATTATTTTATTTCATTTTTATAATGTTAAATTTGTAATAAAACTTACAAATTAAAATAAACATCAAAAATAAACTTTTCATTTTATAAAACAATATATTGATTTTTATTTTTGGTGTTTTTTTCATACATTAAACAAAAATGATATTTTTAAATAAAAACGACTTTATTCTGAATTTAAACAAAAATGATTAAACATAAATTAATTTTCCCTTGTTCAAATTGTAAACAATGTGTAAATTCAACTTCTTGTGTTGAATGTAATTATGGGTATTATTTATCTGCAAATTCATGTTATTCTTGTTACTCTTCTTGCAAAACTTGTACTAATAACACAAATTATGCATGTTTGACTTGTAAAAATGGATACTATTTAACTCAGAATTCCAAAGTGTCTAAGTTGTAATAATCCTTGATATTATTGTTCTGGTAAAACAACGGAAGATTGCGTCACATGTGTATCTGAATATTACATATCGGGTTTGAGCACTTGTTTGAGGTGTAATAATTCGTGTTCGACTTGTTATGGTGGATTAAACACGGAATGTCTTTCTTGTAATTATGGATATTATTTACATGATTATACAACTTGTTCACGTTGTTCGTCTGAATGTCGCACTTGTTCTCAATCTTCAAATAATTGTTTAACATGTCAAAGTTATTATTACTTGTCGGGAAATACATGTCTGAAATGTGATTCATCATGCAACAGTTGCAACGGTTCCGGGTCTAATAATTGTTTGTCATGTAAATATTTGTATGGTCTCTCGAATGGATATTGTGTCAAATGTGATTCATCGTGTATCACTTGTAATGGTACAGGGCCAAATAATTGTTTATCATGCTTCTTTTCATATGGTGTTTCAAATGGATATTGTGTAAAATGTGATTCATCGTGTTATAGTTGTAACGGTACAACTTCTAACGATTGTCTTTCGTGTTATGAAAAATATGTTTTAATTTCTGGCAAATGTTTTAGATGTGATACATCTTTTAGTACTTGTGATGGACCAAATGCCAACAATTGTTTGTCGTGTAATACATATTCCAATATTGTTAATGGGTATTGTTTTAAGTGTGATTATTCATGTATGACGTGTTATTCAAGTGGACCTGGAAATTGCCGAACGTGTAAATCTTATTATTATTACTCAAATGGGTATTGTTATCAATGCAGTTCAAATTGTAGTACTTGTTATCGAACTGCTGAAAACAATTGTTTGACATGTAAGACTGGTTTTTATTTAATAAATGGATATTGTCTTCCTTGTGGCCAAAATTGTGGTAGTTGCAGTGGCAATTTTGCAAATAATTGCGATTCTTGTCAATATAGTTTTTATTTGACAAATGGGTCTTGTATCGAATGTCCTTTAAATTGCGGCTCTTGTAATGGGTCTAAATGTTTAAATTGTAAATTAAATTATTATTTAATGGACAATGTTTGTTACCCATGTCATCCCGATTGTGGTAGTTGTGATGGTCCAGAAAGAACAAATTGTACTGGATGTAATGACGGAAAATATCCAGATTATGATCACGGGGAATATAATCACACGTGTCTACCATGTCAGACACATTGTGGGTACTGTGATAATTATGGTTCTTGTTATGAATGTGAAAGTGGATATTACTTTTCTAATACTGGTGAATGTGTTAAATTCGATAATGAATTGTGTGTATATGGATATAGTAATAACGAATGTTATGGTTGTGTGATTGGATATTATTTGGATAAAAATGACTGTTTAGAATGTCCCAATATATGCAAACAATGCTATGGACCCACAACAAATCAGTTTTATTCATGTATTGATGGGTGTTATATTTCATCTTATACTTGCCTTCAATGTTCTTCAACTTGTCAAATTTGCAAAGACAATTCTACAATTTGTCTGTCTTGTCATCCAGGGTCGAGATATTTGTGGAATTACCAGTGTATCGCTTGTGATAATTGTAAGTATGGGCATTGCATATCTAACACAACAAAATGCGATTTGTGTTTTGATGGATTTTATTCTGATAATGGGGTGTGTAAAACTTGTGACTCTATATGTTTAACTTGTGTGAGTTCTTCTTCGAACTGTTTGTCTTGCAAGCCTGGGACTTACTTTTCAAATTCGATGTGTCTCACTTGTGATGCAAATTGTGAGACATTTGGCTGTCACACGACTTTGGGATGCACAAATTGTAAACCAGGATACTTCCCAAAGAACCTTAAATGTAGCCAATGCAATGAAATCACAAATTGTGTTACTTGCAGCCAAACTGAACAAAAGTGTTTGACTTGTACATCTGAAATTTCATATCTTAACTCAAGTGGATTGTGTTCACCTTGCGATTCATCTTCCCAAACGTGTAACACAGATGGAAGTTGTAACGTGTGTATTGACAATTATGTACCAAATTTAGTCAACAACAGATCATGTCAGGAGTGTTCTTCGTTTGACCCAAATTGTGATGTTTGTGACAACAATCAATTCAGAGAATGCACACAATGTGCAGATAATTATTACTTGAACTTAAATGGCACTTGTTCTCAGTGTAATTATACATGTGCGTATAATGGATGCAACAAAAAGACTGGAATATGTGAAACGTGTGCAGTGGGGTACACCAAACAAGCTGTCGACAGTGTTCAATGTCAGTTGTGTAATTTATACGATCCTGATTGTTCAACTTGTTCACAAACTACAAGAAAATGCACAATGTATAATTGGCAAATACCCAAATACATCATCACCATTTTCTTGTACGTTTTGCCACTCCACTTGTGTGTATGATTGTTCACCTATAACGGGAAATTGCATCACTTGTATCGATGATCAATACACAATCAACCCATCAAACCCAAAACAATGTCAAACTTGTTCAGGATTTGATAACAATTGTATGAGTTGTTCAACAACAGAACGGAAATGTTTAGATTGTATGTATGATGTTTCGTATTTGGTGGATTGAGTTTGTTTATTGTGTGATCCAACATGTTCAAAATGTGACTCAAATGGTTTATGTACCAAATGTGTTGATAATTACGTCTTTAATGAACCAAAGCAACAAAAGTGTATAACTTGTACATCATTTGACGCAAACTTTATAACATGTGATTCAACAAGTTCAAGATATTGTTATAAATGCAAATCGGGTATGTACCCTGATACATCCATTGGTAAGTGTAAACCATGCGATTCTTCGTGTGGTGGTAGTTGCGACACAACAAATGGAATTTGCACAAATTGTGTTCCTGGTAAAGTTTTCAGTGATCCGGAAAGTGATATATGTGTAGATTGTTCAACCTTTGATTTAAACTGTGCCGAATGTGCTTCGAATGGAGAAAGAAAGTGTGTTAAATGTCGAGAAAATAGTGGGTTTTATCTACTCAATGGAATATGTATTCCTTGTGATTCAACTTGTAAACCAAATACATGTGACTCGACATCTGGATTTTGTTCACAATGTTTGTTAAATTACACAGTAACTTCTCCAATATCAAAAGTATGTGTAAAATGCTCTGAATTTGATTCATACTGTTCAAAATGTGCAGTTGATTTCACAAGAAAATGTGAATTGTGTTCAAGTGGAAAATACCCAAAACCATCCGAAAACTATAAATGTGGTAATTGTGACCCTACATGTGGAGGTCAATGCAATGGTACAACAGGTGTGTGTACTGGTTGTTCATCGAATTACGTCTTTACAACTACAGACAGTTTCGTGTGCGATTCGTGTTCATCATTTGATTCGAATTGTCTGACGTGTGACTCAACATATCAAAGAAAATGCAGTGTGTGTCGAACAAGTGGGATGTATCCAAGCGACTCAACATACAAATGCATCGCATGTGATACAACATGCAATGGTAACTGCGATCAAACAACGGGCAAGTGCACTGCTTGTATCAACAATTACGTATTTGAAGCGACTAAGAGTGGTGTTTGTGTTGCTTGTAAATCGTTTGATCCAAGTTGCAAAATCTGTTCACCTGATTACAACAGAAAATGTGTTGAGTGTGAAAGTGGATTCTATCCAAATGCTAGTGGTGTTTGTGTTAGATGTGACACAACCATCACAAATTGTCGTACGTGTAATTCGAAAGAAAACATTTGTTTTACATGTAATGATCCATATTATTTGTCAAATCAAACTTGTTTGAGTTGTACTTCTGGAAGTTATAAAAACACAAAAACATCATGTGAAAAGTGTTACATTGGCATCCCAAATTGTCAATTGTGTTCAACAAAAACTGTTGGAATTCCTGTTTATACAACATGTTATTCACCATACCAGATTAATTCTGAGTTAAATGTGTGTGATTCCTGTACAGCAAACAAAAGTTACAACACAACAACAAAGAAGTGTGAAAGTAATGGAAATGGGTGCGCAACTGTTGTGGGTCAAGAAAGGTGTTTAAGTTGTTCAGATGGATATTATCTGTCAAATAACAAGTGTGTGTCAGCAACCAACTGTGTGTCCAAATCAACTCTTTCAAAAGTGTCATGTGACTGTTCGTATCAAATATCAGTTGGCTCAGATTGCCAAAGCACTTTATTAAAATGCAAATATCAGAAAAACTACAAAAATCAAAAAGAATGCATTCAATGTGAAGATAATTATGTTGTTAATGATAAAACTTGTCAAAATGTAGTTAATATATTATCATTGAGAAACGGTGTCATTTATAGATGCGAAAAAAGTAAATATTTGAATGAAAATAATCAATGTGTGAAATGTAAAAACAACTCTTCGATTTGTATGAATTACAATTTTAACATTACAATCGTGTCGTGTGCAGAAAACAAAGTTTATAACATTGAAACAATGAGCTGCAATAGTGATAACAATTGTTTAAAATAAGGCAAAGATTATTGTTCATAGTGTGTTGGTAATAACATGGAACTAAAATATGGACAATGCTCGGTGTGTTCTGTACCCAATTGTAATTATTGTGAAGGTGGAAAATGTAAGAGATGTAACGAAAAATACGTGATACAAACAAATGGGTTTTGTGTTGAACAAAGTGAAGTTGGGTGTGCCAAAGCTAACGGAATGTCATGTCCCCAATGTAACGAAGGGTTTTATGCAATAGAAACTCTCAACAATGAGGGGAAATACGATTTTTGTATTCCAATTACTACCACTCAAATAGCTGACTGTAAATATTCACTGAATTCAAAATCAATATGTGTTGAATGTTTGGATTCTTTCAAACTAAAAAAAGATAATTGTTCAGAGAATTTCAATGATGACAATGATGAAAATAATGTTATTAACACAAAACAAATGATGAAAGGTGTTGAAGTTTCGTGTTTTAGTCGAAATAACAAAGGGTGCGAAAGATGCAGTTCTGGTTATTACTTTAACAACAGCGAATGTGAGAAGTGTCCCTATAATTGTAATAAATGTTACAATATGACGTATTGTTTATCATGCGATGCACGGTATTACTTGTCATCCACCTTCACATGTGAACCACTTGGCAATTTGTTTACTAAATGTGAATTGACTCTGCCGACGGGTGGTGGGTGTGCAATTTGCAAAGAGAATTATTACAAACAAAAAGCTGATTGTATATCTTGTGATGAGTCGTGTGGTACTTGTGTTGATAGCACTTCTTGTTTGACTTGTCAAAATGAATATTTCAGACTTTCAGGAAGTAAAAGTAAATTGTGTGTGTCATATGACAACTTGACTAAGTGCATAACAACAACGCCGATCGGGTGTCTGAAGTGTGAGGATGGACATTACTTGTATGATTACATTTGCAAGAGTTGTTCTGATAACTGCATCTCGTGTGACAACTATCAAAACTGTAACAATTGCATTGCAAACGACTATGTGTTGGTTGACTTACAGTGTGTGAATTATAAAAATGTCGAATTTTGTCTGTCTGCGAATAATTCAAAGTGCACAGAATGTGAAGGGTTTCACAAACCAAGTGATGCCGGTGATTATTGTGTCAAAGAGACAAATTATGGGTTGGTTGTTGGTGTTCCATTATCAGTCACTTTTGTGATGATAGTGTTTATTGTTGCTATTATAATGATAATCATATCAATGATACAAAAGAGAAAACAAAAGAAGAAAGAGCAGAACATTTGCAACTTCAAAATGAGTCGATCCAACATTGAGATGGTCAAATTGAGTACAAATTTGGTGTCTAACAAGACAACACTAAAATTTGATTTGGATGACAACGACCCACTAAAAGTCGACATTGAAACAAGAGATTTGATATGTATTGGGAATGTGTCTAAAAGTAATTTGAAAGTTCAATTCAGTGTGATGGAAGGGTGTGACTATTATGAGATACGAAGTGTGCCACCACTTGTGACATTGAAGCCCGGATATGCCTGTGAGTTTGAGATATTCATCAAGCCGTTGTGTACTTGTGTCACAAAAGAAAGTGTGGCGATCACTTCGTTAAATATAGCAACTGGTGTCATTGAAAATGCAAAAATTGAAATGGAAATCGAGACTGAACAAACAACTAAATTGAATTACAGAGAAATAACAGAAGACGAGAAGCTTGGCGAAGGCAGTTTTGGAATTGTCTACAAAGGAAGTTATAGAGGCGTCTGTGTTGCAATCAAAAAGATGAAACAACTTGATAATAACGAAAGTGGTCTTGTAGAATTTGAAAAGGAAGTTGCAATGCTTGACAAGTTCCGATGTGATTACATTATCCACTTCTATGGCGCTGTATTCATACCAAGTAAGGTGTGTATGGTTACCGAATTTGCAGCATTTGGGTCACTCTAAGACTTGATCAAACACAAAAAGAGTGATGAAATTGAAATGAAGTTGCGAATGAAATTTTTACTAGATGCGGCAAAAGGTATTCAATATTTACACGAAAATGGAATTCTACACAGAGACATCAAATCAGACAACTTCCTTGTGTTATCACTTGACTTGAATGAGAAGGTGAATGCAAAATTGACTGATTTTGGGTCATCAAGAAATGTTAATATGCTAATGACTAACATGACATTCACAAAAGGTGTCGGAACTCCAACATATATGGCTCCTGAAATTTTAAAGCAAGAAAAATACAAGAAGAGTGCAGACATTTATGCATTTGCAATCACTATGTTCGAGACAATTTTTTGGAAGGAAGCATTTTCAAAAAGTGAATTCAAATATCCATGGAAAATTGCAGACTTTGTTAACAATGGAAATCGCTTACAAAAAGTGGATTGTATGACTGATGAACAGTATAAACTAATATCAAACTGTTGGGCTCATAACAAAGAAGATAGAATTACAATAGAAGCTGCGAGAGAGCAACTTGAAAAATTGTTGAAATGATAATATACTCAGTTTTTAATGTGTTTTATATGGGTTTAATATATAAATTGTTATATTCAAAATAAATTCAAAAATTAATAATTTAAGTTAAATTTTTTAATGTGTACAAATGTATTTAACTTTTTTTTATAATTTATAAATTTTATATTTATTCAATAACATTACTTGTTAATTAAAATTGTTTACATCATTTATAATAATTTGAATGATAAATATATCTATTTAATATAATTAATGTTGTTTTGATTTAAATAACTATTGAAATAATTTATGTAAGTTTTATTTTCGAATGAATAATTGTTCATTGCTTATTTTTTGAATTTGGTAAAATGTAACGGAAGTGCTATTACCATTGTGTTTTCTTTAAATAAGAAAATTTTTGAATAGGAATGATTGAACAAAAATGTTCTTTGTTTATAAAATACTATGAATTGGTTCATACAAACTTAGTCAATATATGCTCATACTTTTTACATAATAAAATTTTATAATAAAAATCAACACACTTGTTTATTCAATGTGTCACAACAATAATGATAAAATTTAAATCTTCTTTTTTTACTTGTAAAAATTAGCCATACAAATCAGAACAGAACCATTTGTAAATTTAAAAATACAACGCACATAATTTATAATCAATAAACAACAACAACAATAATAATAATTACGCCCAAATTTAAAATATTTGGGTGTGTCATTTAAGAAATAAGACAGTTATAAGGAAATGAGGAATGCATAATAAGAGTGTTGTGTTTGACTAAAATAAAAAAGACTGGTCACAAAAACAACATTTATTTTTTTATAAGTGATATGCAGAAATAATTGTGCTTATTTATATAAAACATTAATTACAACTCGTTTGCTTACATGTTCAACGGCAAAATCAATACGATTAAGACTTTTTTCAGTACCAGTTTATATATCTTTAACTTAAAAGAAAAGAAACCTGTAATTTAAAAACGTTGATAAAAAAATAGCAAATCTGAGTATGAGTTTATTATTTTTAAACAGTTATTTTTTGGTCATTATAATGAAATATATATGCAACATAAGTATAAACCATATTATTTTAATATTTAAAAACACAATAGACTTTAACATGTTAAAACAAAAACACAAACACTCAAAAATAAAGACAGTAATAAAAAAGACAAGAGCGTTTTTTTCCATCAACTCAACAAAAAGATAATGTCGTTAAGAAACTTTTCTGTTTAACGCACAACTTTGGTGACAAGACTTTAATACATGAACAGAACACAACAAAAAGTAACCACAAAAATAAAAACAAAGAATATTGTTATTATATCCAAAAACAATTTTAGTCTAGACTTTTACAAAAACAATCATAATTCATTCAAATTGGTTAATTTATTTGGTTGTATTTCAATTTAAAATGTTTATAAAACAATCATAATAGATTTTCAAGTTGGTTCACAACAATTTCCATTTGTGGACGACTTTTCGGGTCCTGACACCAACATTGTGTGATGATGTTGTACTGCTCTTCTTCTATTGGATCTTTTCTTTTCAGTCGATTGTTGTGAATTACAAATTCGGCAATTTTCCATGGAAATTTAAATGTGTCATTTTGATAAGCCTCAGACCACCCAAACACTTCATACATTGTGATTCCAAACGAATAGACATCGGCCGCCTTCTTATATTTCTCTTTGTTTAATATCTCGGGTGCCATATACACTGGAGTTCCAATACCTTTTGTGAATGTCATGTTAGTCATCAGCATGTTGACATTTCTTGCACTTCCAAAATCAGTCAATTTTGCATTCATCTTCTCATTCAAGTCAAGTGAAAACACAAGGAAGTTGTCTGATTTGATGTCTCTGTGTAGAATCCCGTTCTCATGTAAATACAATACACCTTTTGCTCCATCCATCATCATTTTAACTCGAATTTTCATTGGCGGAATTTGTTCACTTTTTCTGTGTTTGATCAAGTCTTGTAGACTTCCATATTGTGCAAATTCAGTGACCATACAGATCTTATTTGGTATGAACACGGCTCCATAAAAGTGGACAATATACTCACTTCTAAACTTATTCAACATATTCACCTCATTTTCAAATTCAGTGATAAGTTTGTCAGTGTCATTTGATTGTTTCAACTTTTTAATTGCAACGACATTTCCTCTATAAGTTCCTTTGTACACTATCCCAAACGATCCTTCACCAAGTTTCTTGTCTTCTTTCAACTCGTCGTAATCCAATTTTGTCGAGTTTTCTGTTGTGATTTCAATGGCAATTGGGACAGACACAGTCTCACTGTTTTCGATGTTCATTGTGACTATCATCATCTCGTCGTGTAATTTCAGTGAGCAGTGTGGTGTTACAAAGACTTCAAATTCGCACGCCTCGCCTTTCTTCAAAGTCACCAATTGTGGTTCTGTGCGAATTGAGTATTTGTCGCAGCCGCCACGTGTTGTCATTTGTACTTTCAAAATGCCTTTGCCTTTGTTGCCAACACAGAGTAGTTCGCGAGATTCTTTTTCAACGGGAATGACTTCACACGTGTCATTAAATGGCAGCGACTTTTTGTTTGTTAAAATGTTGCCGTCTAACACACTCATTGCAATGTTTGAACGACTCATCTTAAAGACACAGATGTTCTCCATTTTCTTTGTTTCCTTGCGCTTTTGTATAACAAATATTGTAATTATTATAATACCGATTATAATGAGTACTATAATGAACACGGAAACAATTGGAACGCCAACAACAACACCGTAATTTGTGGTGTGAATACAACTCAACATGTCGTCACTCAACTTGTAGTTATCATCACATTTTGAACATTTGTTGTTGGCAGACTCAACACAGTTCTCAATGGCTGTGTAGTGTGAACAGACACCTGACACTAGTACATTATCTTTCACACAGTCAGTGCACTCATCAATGTCATTGCATTGTGTACACATGACTTGACACTTCACACACAAATTGTTTTTGAGATAGTGTCCACCTTCACATTGCATACAACCAGCTGTTGTTCTGTTAGCACACGAAGTCAACTCGCTTTGTGGCGAACACAACTTGGTGACATTTGATAAGGTGCGATAAAACGCCTCATCGCACACAACACAGTTTCCTTCGTTTGTGCACGACTTGCAAGACTCATCACAGCCAATGCATGTTGACCCATCAGATGACCGCATGTATCCCTCCTTGCAGACAACAAACCCGCGATATGTTGACATCAACACGTCACACACATTGACAAGGTCGTTGATTTCCGTGCAAACGCCGTTGCTGTTTGCATACGAGTAATCGTCGCACTTGGTGCAGAATGTCTGATTTGAACAGTAGACACAGGGGTACTCACACTTCACACACGTGCGGTCTGCGAGGTAATACCCACTGAAACACCTCAGACACCCCTTTGTGGTGCTCACTTCACAATGGCTGTCTGTCTGCGTGTCTTCATATTTAGTTGTTTGTTTGGTGGTCTCATTTGGAAGTGTTTGTGGCACACACGAAATTCCATCAAAGTTGTAATCGGACTCACATTCGACACATTTGGTGTTGAGTGACGAGACAACACCACAATTAGACAAGGCGCCAGTCTTCTTTTTACAGCCATCAACGTCTTTGTAATAACCACTCTCACATATGACACACACTTTGTCAAATGAACTGCAATGAATTGACTGGGTCTCTGTGCACACGCCGCCAACGTTGATGGAGTTGTTACACACAATGCAAATATCTCCATTTTGATTGTCACAATTGGCATTGTTTGATAAGCATTTTCCTTGTGAGATGTGATGTTTAGCATCACATTTGATACAATCATTACTTGATATTAGAAAACACGTTGTATCAGTTGTACACGCGCCGTCTATCAACAATTTGTTTTCTTTACATTTCATATCAGTAACAATTTTATTTGAAATGACACACACTTCACTTTCACACTGTTCAACAGTGTTGTTGTTTGTTGTGTGATACCCATTGATTGCTAAGTAGCAGTACTCGTTGTGTGATGTTTCACAATTTTGCTTTGCTTTGCCACACGACACATCATCAACACAATACAAACACTTTGTGACACTTTCTGTGTTGATTTCATATTTACAATTTGTGGTGTTCGCACAGTTGCCATTCGATGTGATCACATCTGAAACGCATTTGTCGCAGCCGTGTTGCGAGTATTTCTCACACTTCTCATTCTTTTCATTACAAACACCGTTTAACAACATCGTTTTTGTATCACACAAGTAACATGTTGTATTAATTTGGTTGATGCACCCATCCATGTTGATGTGTGATTGGTGATCATTCGTGTTGAAGTATGTTGTAGTGGTGTATCCCAAATTGCATGCCTTCAAGTCACTTGAAGTGACGTATGGCGCAAAACATGTGGTGCAAATGTGTTGACTGTTGACATAGTCTGCAATCTGACACTTTGGGATAACATTGTACGAGTAGTCGCACGTCGTTTCTGTGACTTTGACCATCCCAACTTCACATGCAACACAACTGGTGCCAGTCGATATCATGTTGCCCGCACACGACAGACACGTTTTTGTTGTTTGTGAACACGTCAGACAGTCTTTATGAATGTCACTACATGGTTGACAGTCGGCACTTTCATTCAAATAAAATCCATCTTCACATGATACACAGATACCATCTGATGTCTCGTCTGTGCACAAATCGCAGTATCCAGATGGAGCACATGACACACAACTGTTATCAGCTCTTTTGTTGCCAGCTTCGCATGATGTGCATGCACCACTTTTTCTGTCACACTTTTTGCACTCTGTCGAACACTGCTGGCACCGTAAAACACCGCCTTCTGAGTATGTGAGGTCGCCACACAACGTACACACTCCACTGTCAAAGCCATATCCAGCAGCACATGTGAGACATTTTCCATTTGTTGCATTGCAACTTGCACACGAAGAATCACACAACTTGCAGGTGGTTTGTCCCTCAACATCTTGGTATGCCATCTCACCACAACTTTGACACACAGAACTCAGGTAGTATGTCCCCGTTGGACACATGGCACACTTCCCAACTGCAAGACCATACCCAGTAACACAATTGACACAATACCCATTAGTCGCATCACACCCATCACATTTTGTGTCGCATTGCTGACATGACAACGAGCCCGAATTTGAGTATGTCATTTCTCCACAACTCTTGCACTCAGAAGAGCCTTCACCGGCATAAGTACCCGCCTTGCATGTGTCACATTTGTTTGTTGTTTGATTTTCCATTGTTCCTGAATTGCACAATGAACACACTCCATTTGATAGAACAGCACCACTTACACAGGCAACACATTTACCACTTGTTTTCTCACATGGTCCTTGACACAAAACATTACATTTTTTGCAACTTGTTGATCCCATTGTGCTGGCATACGTCCCATCTGCACATGGATCACATTTCAAACTCTTTTGTGATGATGAATATGTCCCAAGTGAACAATACTTACATTTATTTGCACTGCTATATGTACCAGCACTGCAAACCGAACACGTTGTTGTTGTAATTCCCATACCCAACCCACACGACGTGCAATACCCATTTGTTTTATCGCAACTCAAACACGTTGAACTGCAACTTTTGCATGTTGTACTTCCCGTCAATGAGTATTGCATGTCGGCACATGTTATACATCTTCCACCACTTTGGTACGTTCCAGCCGAACACGTGTCACATATTTTACCACTCGTAAAATATCCATCATAGCAAGATAAACAGTTTCCATTTGTTTGGTCACACGTTTTGCAACTTGTTGAACATGCTGTACACCCACTTGAACCACTGAGTGAGTAATACCCAGTCGCACACTTTGAACACAACGAAGTTCCACCACTTGAATAATACGATGAAGGACATATCGAACAGTTTTTATTTGACGAATCGTACGAATAGCCAACATTACATGAAGTGCACACACCAGTTGTTTTTGAACACACTCCACAACTTATTGAAACACATTGAATACACTTCGAATATCCAGCCAGAGAATAAAAACCATCTCCACACACTTTACACTCCGAGCTTTCAATATCGTCTGCATAAGTCCCAGCCAAACAATCATTACAATAAGCACTTTTACTACTTGAGTATGTACCTTCTTGACACTTTACACATTTTGTTGATGACGTTGTGTATTCAGAGCGTGTTCCTGCAGCACATTCTGTGCATTTTGAACTTCCATAATATACGGAATAAAATCCACCAGGACACCCAGTGCACGTTTTTGCTCCTTCATTAGAGTAAGACCCAGCATTACATGGATTACAAGATGAAGACCCACTAATACTTGAATATGTCCCAGCAGCACATGGTGTACAACCTGATGATCCTGAAAAATAAGAATAATATCCAGCTGGACATTTCATGCATGTGGAAGCTCCTGATAACGATGAGTAAGTCCCTGCATCACATTTTGTGCATGTTGAAGATCCTTTATTGGAATATGTCCCAGCTAAACAAATGCTGCACGAAGAAGCTCTGATACTAGAATAATACCCCGCATCACATGTTAAACACGAAGAAGCTCCCGAAGCAGAATACGTCCCCGCAGCACAATTTGAACAAGAGGTAGACCCATAACTAGAACTATAAGTACCAGAAAAACATCGTGAACATGAAGTTGATCCAGAGCTTGACGCAAAAAATCCAGAATAACACTTTGTACATGACGAAGCACCAGTGCTTGAATAAGTTCCAGCAGGACAAGAAGTGCAGGACGTTGTTGTTCCACCTAAAGAATAAGTTCCTGCTCGACAATTAGAACAAGATGATCCAGAAAAGTACTGCCCACTACTACATGATGTCGCAGCATAAATTCTTGTTGTTATTAAAAACAGACATAACATGAATTTTAAATATTGAGTTAACTATTATAAATAAGTTTTCAAATAATTATAAATAAAACAAAAAACTATTGAATTATAGCATTTCATAATTATATTAAATTTATACTAATCGAGTTTTCATGTTTTTAAATTATTTTTTTTTGTTCCAAATAAAAATGAAGCCACAATCGATCTCAAGTTAAAAAATAATTACGAAATTAATATTTAATCAATCTAAAAACGTTGCCTGGGCATTTTTTGGATCATATATACTGTAATATTTCGAAAAACTGTTCGAAACACTGCATAAATGTTGTTTCATAAATATCACCCAGTTTTCAATGTTTTTCTTAATTTCTATATTTTAAACTTTTTTGTGGAAATTTTTGTCCATTTTTGTCAAATGGACAACTTTTAAGACAGACATTTTTTAATAAATCGATTTGTAATTCGTAAAAAGATTATTGCATTAAAAAAAACTATTAATTTATTAAATAATGCAATCAATAATATTGTATACAAAGTCTGATTTCTTATTAACTTTATTCCAAAAATACAACAAGGAAATTTACTATATCAGTTTTTTTATATTATAATATATAGTATCGACCATCACTAATTAAAAACCATAAATAAATAGTAAATTTCTTATTAATATTTACCATTTGACATTCTCAAAGAAATGCTGGTTGTCAATCGTTTTCTTTGCTTTTCAAAGCAATTGGTATGACCGATTAACCACATCACAACAATAACATTTCTATGATTAACTATATTAAATGGTCTGCCTGTTGTGTTAATATTATTTGAGAATTCGTCAGAGAGGAATAACAAACTCCACATTTCTTGCTTTCCTTTTTTGGATGTATAATTTGGTTAAAAAGAAAAAAAAATTTAAAAATAAAACAAAAAATTATTATTTCGAAAAAAGCTATTTATTAAAATTAAAAAACTAAATATAAAGTTAATTTTCTTCATCGTTAATTAATAATCCGACTTTATATACAGTTGACCAAATAATAGTCAGAGACCAAATAATTGTAAGAAGGATGTATTACCCAATAATTACCCAAAAAATCCCATGTAAATAAGAAGTGAAAAAAGGTTCAACAAATAATAGTAAGACACTTATTTTTGTTGCTTTCAAAAATAATTCAAAAAGCGATAAAAAATAACTTAAAAATATAAAATAATGTCGAACTTTTTGGACGTTTTATTGTTTTCATTGTGGTTTACTCTGGAAATGTCTCGCCATAAAAGAAGTTCATAGTCCTCACTCCCCAATGGTTGTTTTTATAGAAGTTATTAATTGCAACTAAGCAACTTAATAAAACTCGTTGTTTTTCCAATCTTTTTCTGTATGGTAAGGTTTGGTTTGTTGTCAATCTTTCGTCAATTACTTCTTGAAACCCTCGGTTTCAAACACCAAACCTCGATTTAAAATACTCATTTAAAGAGAAGCTATTTAGACCCACTTAGTGTTTATCAGTTTATTGAGCGGGATATAGTTTTTTATTTTCTTTCACTGTTGTTCAAGGTGCGCAAATTAAAGAAGTTGTGAATGTCAGAAAATCACAAAAAAACTTCACTTATTATTTTTGCCATCGCAGACATTCTGGCACTGTACTGAATGTCAAGTTTCTTGGTATAGAAACAAGAAGAAATTGTAGTTGATATGGTTGCCCGTTAGAAACGTGTATTTCAGCTGGATTGATGGTGACATTTGAAGAACGATGAAATGTAGGAGAAACAAAATATCTATCAAACATCTCATTACTTTGGTCGCATTCTGCGTTTCCCATTCTTCTACAAACTCCTAAACTCCATGTTGTATCACTACCTATATTATCATATGAGGATTTCTTCCTCGAAAATGATGGTAATATCTCATTTTCAGCTTTCAAATAATATCTATTCTCTGAAAGTCTGACCTTGTAATTATTGACATCGGCCTCCTTAGGCTGGTAATACTCCGAAAAACCTTTTAAGTTCAACAACGAGCCGGTGATGTTGTCCGAAACTCGGTCCATCTCAATATCACAAAATATTTCTCTTACTAAGTAAGGGACATTTCTGTCATTTCTAACAGTACATTCAACAAATTTGGTGTATCAAAGGATAAATTGGTTATAACCTCTTCAAGGTGTTGTTCCGACACCGACTTTAAGCTCAACATCTTGATACCTTTGGTTTTGATTTTCGATTTGTATGTTTCGAGGAAGCGTCGAGCTTATTTAATGTCAAAATAACATCTTGAGATTTTGTCTTTGAAAATGGAGATGATGCCACTCCTTTTAAAAGATGCGACAATGATACTCTTCGTACTCTTGTCAAACAAAGCTTTGGCAACTCCAAGAATTTTGGCCGCATTTGCAGTACCATTGGCCGCTCTTTTATATCCTGGTCGGTAAAAACATTTACGTACTTGTTCGTTCATCTTAGAAAAGTCTTTGAACAGATCGTTAAGGCGTTCTTCCTCTTCATCGTTATTTATGGTGCATAAATCCACATTTTCTATCTGTTGGATCTCAAAATGTTGGAGTAAGTTGCTTACTCGTCTCATGGTAGTTGTCCCATTTATCGACTTTTTAACAACTCCAAAAAGCACAAATCCAGCGGTTGCATCATATGACTTGAATGTGGCGCATATATGTGGAGCAGAATGTTGTTCGCGTATAACATCCCCAAAAGAACTCCATCTATATGTTCACTAAAATTATCCATTGCAATAGTTGCCCATTCACCCAAAAGATTTAGAAGTGCCCTTTTCTTTACAATCTTCACAACCAGATCAGCCATGTAATACGCGAAAAGGTTTTTGGTCGCATATCCATTGGAAGAGTATAGAATCATTAGGTCTGGATATGAATTCTTAGCTTCTGAGAAATAGCTCTTTTGATTCACAATCAAAGAGTACGAAGTTGGTTGTTTATCGGCAGAAATACAACATATTGCGGTTGAATGTTCAACTGAATGACTGACTCCATAAGTTTTTTGGGAATTTTCTTCGGATTGTTTAACGATAAGATGGAGTTTTTTGTCTGCTCAGTCATTTAAACCCATCTCATCGATGTTGAAAAAAGCGCCGATGGGGTACCATCGACGGCTTTGAGATTATTCATGTTCTTTATAACTGATTCATAACTTAATTCAATTCGATGATAATCATCAGCATTCATTTTTAAAGTGTAACCCAGTTTGTCTCTTAAATGAATGCGCACAGCTTCTCTTGTGATGTTTTCCAAATCAAAGTGTTTACTCAACAAGACCACGATTCCAGTCAGCGAACAGAAAGCCCAAGTGAATACAGTTTGTCCATCATACTGTTAATTTCATGATCCATATCCTTTGTTATCTTACCCTTTGGTCCACGACGCACTTCTTCAACTTCCTTCTTCAATTGACAGTCGATTGCTCAACTTGAACAACCAAACATTAATCCTAAAAGCGAAAGCGATGAGCCGTCAATACTTTTCAAAAACTTTATTTGCCCTCTTCTTGTTGTCAAATTGGAAAATGTCGTTTTTGAAAGCCGCCTCGAGCAAAATAACGGCTTTTTTGTTGTTTTCCTTTATTTTTTTCGTGGAAAATGTTATCTGTCATTTGTTTCTTAGAAAGTGCAAGGAGTTTTTGACAATTGAATGAAATGATTGGGTCTTCTTTTGGTTCAGACACGTTTTTTTAGTTGTTGGTTTGTTTTCATGTTTTTATATATTTAGCTTTTTTAAAAAATAAATTGTTTCATGAAATCTATTTTAATATAGTTTTTGATTAAAGTTATAAAACTATTTAATTTTACTTCTTACAATTATTTGGTCTCTGACTATTACTTGGTCAACTGTAAAGTCGTTTAATATTGTTAGACATTTGGTTATAAATGGTTTTATTTTACAAAGAAAACAACATAAAATAATTTACAACGAAATATATTAATTAACTTATTATAAATATTAATATTTAAATTCCTTATTTTAAATGAAAAAAAAATGAAAAACATTTGAGAGTCGAAAAGGGGTATATCAAAAGTTGAATAACAACAAAAGCGGAAGAAAATCTAACAATAATAATTAAAGTAATAATATAATTTTGATACAAATTAATAATGATAAATTGAACTGAAATAACAATTTCTACAAACGGAATGTCATCTTATTTACTTAACCAAACAATTGAGCATGATATCACAACGAAGTACCAAAGTGTTTTAATGTTCTTGTTGTCTCAAACTACTTCATTTGTGGTGAGTTTATCTTCATATAGTTCAACCAAATCATCTCATTTTGTGACGATCAAAGAACTGACTTATTTTGGCGACGACATCTTCACCATCAATTTAAGAGAACTCGTCAACGAGCGTGCGAGTCAAAATTTTGACGATTTATGTAAAGAAAAAGTCTCGAAAAAAACAGCTGAAAGAAGAGTTGTGTATGGAAAGCCGTCCGACTCTATTCACTTTTTAGAAGACTTGTTATACATAATTGGAATCGATTGCTTTTGCCAAATCGGCGACAAAGTTGGGAATACAACTCGACTTGAAATTGGATTTCAGAATGGGACAGTGTGGAGTGCTGGTGATGTTGAAAGGGTTGGAGAAAGTGTGAATGAATACATTTATTCAAAATTAAATGGGAAAAAAGAGGTGTTAATTGAAAGAATTGAACTAATAACATCGCTTGGTATTATCACGGGTAAGTATTAAATTAATTGTAAATATTGTAAAATATTTGGTTTTGAAAGTTTATTTTTATTTTAGATTAATTTTTTAATAAGTGTTGGTTTTTGTATCAATGTTTTGTGGACAATTCGACACTACACAACACAGCCACACGTTTCTATTTTTTTCTGTTTCAGTAAATTAAATATATTTGTGTATTTATTTGGTTTGAATGGCTTCACTAAAATGTGTTGATTG